TGTGCTGCCAACTGTTTCACCAGAGCCTGGTTCTGTTTCACCAGCATCGCTGTGATGCTATTCCACTTTATGTCAAGAGCCTGGCCCTCCGGGTCATCATACACGAGCTCCGGTGCAATGCCCTGCACATCTTCAGCAATCAGTCCCACATGCGTCTCCTCTTTATTCACGACCTTGTATCGTACAATACTCTGCCGCTCAGCATACTCGGCGTACAATTCCTCTAATCCCATACCATCACATAGACCATCGACCTCTAGTGTCTCTGGTTTAGGCGGATAGTTCGTCTCTACCCACTCCTCAAACACAATAGGAAGTTTAAGCGTTTCGGGGCAGGGCTGCGTGTACTTGTTTATGTTTTTTTAGTTGAACTCCTTGACCACTAGGCCCTGTAGGATCGCCTCGACATCTCGCTCGTATTCGTGAATATTCTCCTTGGTCTCTTCACTCGATGTCGAGTATGTGATCTCGCCCGTTGCGGGGTTGTGCGTTAGCGCGTTCAGACCGGTGGCGTTGCGGACCGACTTAATAACCAGTGAGTCTTCGACTGAGTTGTTGAGTGTGTCACTTGTCCCATTAAGGGTGATAGAGTTGTTTGATGCCTGTGTCCTACATGCGCGTGCACATATCGCTACAAAATTTCTGGGGTATATCTTGTTATCGACTTCATCTTCTCCACCCCCAGTTTCTTCTCCATCCTCCTTCTCAAGTTCCTCATCAATATTCGTATCGTCTCCCTCTTCACCGAGCCACTCCAACGCCTGTCGTCCAATGATCACACAGTCCCCACCTTCTCCACTACGTCCGGCCCGGTACCCGATTCCTATACTGCCCTCCCCACCGTTGTCAACCATGGTATAGCCACCAATTGTAATCAACAATTTCCCTTGATCATTAAAGCCAGATAAAGTTCCAACGCACACCGATCCTGCGCCCTGCCTTGTATTCCCAGCCCCATTGCCAACGGCTATTGCATTTAAACCCTGATAAAATCGACCAGCATGTGCACCTAGTGCAGTTCCGTGCTCACCCTGTTCGACTCTACCGGCATCTATCCCTACCGCAACGCAATGGTCCGACTGGTTATCTATGGCGGATTGAGTGCCAATTGCAACCCTGTTCGACCCCTGATTTTCATAGCCCTGGCTATGGCCAATTGCCATGCTAGCTGAACCCTGTGTATTTCGACCCGCAATGTATCCAATCGCTAAGCAATTTGATGACTTCATATTGTATCCCGCCGCAAATTCGACTGCTATAGCCTGTTGCCCCTGCTGGGTGGCTCCCGTAAGATTCCCAATACTTATAGCGTTTTCACTCTGCGATGTACGTCCGGCATAATATCCCATGGCAACCGATCGGGTAGCCTGATCTGTATGCCTCGATTGCATGCCAATAGCCACCTATTGGGTTGCCTGACCTGTATTTCCCGATTCTCTGCCGATGGCTACCGATTCACCCTCCTGGTCCATTTGGCCTGCACCTCTACCTATGGCCACCGAATCCTCACCATGGTTTTCAAGTACGGCATTGGTCCCCATAGCCACACAATACATACTCTGCTCCGTCTGCCCTGCATCTCTGCCGATAGTCACCGCATTAGCACCCTGGTCCGTTTGACCTGCACCCACACCAATGGCAACTGAAGTCACACCCTGTCTTTTTTTGAATCTCTCGCCTGAAGCCGGCCCACCAGGGCCATCGGGGACCTCTGATGGCTACCACCTCGAGACCCGCCAGCTCTGAGTACTCAGCCCCCACTACCCGTCGACATTCAGAGTCCCACCCTAGACCCCCACAAAGGTGCCAATCCCCCAGGCCCCGTTCTTGTGTGGTTTTTTTTATAGGGTTTTAGGGTTTAGAAAGCGAGGTTAAGGTCTGTTGAGTAGTCCGTCATTGCGGACTGTATGTCGTACGTTCGTGTTGTCAGCTGGATAATCGATGGGGCCAGCCAGCCACTGGTCGATTGCTTTGGCCAGATTACTAGTCAGGTAGCGAATATCGCTGGGAATCAGCACTGTGGCGTAATGTCTTCTTAACGACCTTGCCAGCCACAAAAACCTTTACAAAGGCTGCAGTGTCGAAACTCCACAACGGTGTCCCAGAGCAGCGCCCGGTTCTCCAGGGGCTGGTCCGCAACCTTTACCACTGACACCAGCGTCCGCTCGCTCACGGCTAGGAACTGTGTGCCCACTCTCTCAAGCTCAGCCACAGCGCGCCTGTACCGACCCTTGAAGGGCTCGCACTCGGCTGCAGCAGTCTCCAGGTCGCAGCCGTACACCTCGCTCGTGTACATGTCTTTCAGCGGCACCGGCTCGGTGTCCACAAGCCCTAGCCCCGCGGGGTTGTTGGTCAGGCCCAGTAGGTGCCATGTCGCAACCTCGGCATTGACATGGGGTCGACCCAGCTGAATGTGGCTGGGCGCCTGGAAGCCATGCATGAATGTGGCGGCGGCAACACCCCCCCAATGCCAGTCCAGCGACACCCTCCGTCGCCGCGGAGGCGTGCTCCTTCCACAGGTCCTCCAGGCGCCCGTGGGCATTACGGATCGGCACGGGCAGGTTATCGAACTACTGTGAGCGACAGAGCACAAAGGTCCCCGCATACTCCAATGGGGCTACACGGAAACCACTCTCTGGAAAGGGAGCCGTGCGGCACGTCAGGCAGTGCGAGGCGTGAAAGTCGATGCACCGACCCATCCGTGTTCCACCCTTGGCCCGGGCAAACATGTTGGGGTAGAATGTCTCCAGGACCTCAGTGGCCAGCTGACACATACGCTTAAACTGCTGGGCAGCGAGGTCGGTATATGTGTGGACGCGCGACACCTGTGCCTCGCAGACAGGGCCCAGCGTGGCTAGGTACCACAGCGGCAGCCAGGTGAGGGCCCTCTTGGCTCGTGCGTCGTCGAGCGCGGCGAGCATGTCGACCGGTGGAGCAACCACCATGTACCACTGGATAGCTGCAAGTTTGCACTCGTCCGGAACGGCTGTTGCGGGTATATGGCCAGTGTCCATAGTGTGTGTGTGTGTGTGTGTAGTTAAAATACTTGCAAGTGCGATTATGGTTCACGCGCACACTTGCAGGTTTGTATTTACACTCAACCTTTCTTCAATTTTTTCGTCTCTACCCTAGCACGACCGCTCGTAGCGCTCTTTCAGCGCCCTTCGCTCCTTGTTGAGCCCCGCGTCGTAGATTACGCTTCCGAGCCCTGCATGCAGGTCTCTGGTGGGGTCAGCCCGTGGCCGGCAAACTATAGGGCAGCCATCTGGCTCATCAAGGCGTCAGAGCCAGTAACGGCCGGCTGAACTACCTGGGTGGCTGGGTACTGGCAGTCGGACGGGACACTCTCGGGGACCTTCGTGTACTGCATGGTGTTCACGGGGATGTGGGGCGCGGGCATCTGCCTGTGGGTCTGGTATGGCACGCAGGCCACTGCTGTCGGTGTTCCAGTGTACATGTACCGGTATGTAACAAACACTATGAAGGCTAGTACCAGGGCATACACGAGGCGGGTGGTGTTCATGGTGGAGTTCTCCTTAAATGGCTTCGCTTTCGTAGGCAGGCAAACATCGTTTAACCAAAAAAGGATATAATAAAAATTAAAAACGCGAAACCCTAAAAAAAAAGGGGGGGGGGGGGGTTTACCGACAATGAAAGATTAACGGATTGTTGTGACACACACATCATGTCAGGGTTAACAACGCCACAGAGTGACCGTGAAGCAATTGAGGCAGCCCGCGAAGCAGCCCGCGAAGCAGCCCGCGAAGCAGCCCGCGAAGCAGCCCGCGAAGCAGCCCGCGAAGAGGCGGCTAGAATTGACTTTAATACTGCCAATGAGAAGTACGAACTCATGGCCGGGGGCCCCTTGCTTATTTCTACAGGGATGTAAACTTCGATGGAAATTACTAGGTTTCAAACTATAATAAACTAAAATACAATTTAGT